TAAGTTCTAGTTGTATAAATCTCACTGCAGAGTGCGTGTGTGTGAAATCTGTCAGGTGTAGTGGCCTCTGTTACATTTTACAGGACTCATAGCTATCCAGTTGCAGAAAAGTGCAGAATAAAACTCAGGTCATTTTAAAATTAACATTAATCTTTTTTGTTTAAATTAAAAACTAGCTCCCCTGCCTTTTTATATTGGGAGGAGGTCCCTAAACACCTCAGCCTCCAAAAATGCCAAAGATTTTCAAGGAAATTCATATTATATATTTCAAAAATGATTTATTAATATTACCCCCTAAAAGAAATAAATGTATTTTTCTCTTTTGGGAAGATATCACCCATTACCCTTGGAGAATCAGAGCCCTACATTCTATTTTTACCTTTACTAGTAAACTCAACCTTGAAATTGAGCTTGGTTAAGTTCTCTGTGCCTTAGTTTCTCCACTTATAAACAATTCCCTAGAAAAATTGCTTAAACATCCACCCAAATTCACATACATATTCATTCTCTTACCTTATAGAAATGATCACTTCTTAATTTAACTTTGGCTATCACTCTAAAAGATTCTGGCTTGGAAAGAGATAGATTGAAAACACATTTTTGAGAAACAAACATGGTTTCTTCACAAAATATATTTAATCTGATTTTCCCATCTTGTATCCTATTGGGGAAAATTGGAGAAAATTTATATTGTCTTGTGCCATTTTGTAACATGGCTTTCTCAGGAAAAAGATCACTTTCAATTGTAATTCTTGCTTAGATAATTCGAGATGTCTGTGAGGACCATTTTTAGTTCAGTGCTGTGTTGGTCATAGGTGAATTGTTTCTTGTTTAAAGGAGCTTATCAAAAAACTTAAAGATTCTAAATGGGAAATATGAATAAAGCAAGTCTACTTTAAAGCAGCAACCTGCTGTACTTAGGGTAGAAACCTCACATGAAGTTTTCAGCTGTGATGAGCAAATAGTCATTTAGGATTGGTAATTAACATAGGTGTTTTATTCTCTCGCCTCCTTAGTACTGTAGCCAAATACCATTTAATTTATAGAAACTTTCTCTCTCTGGTTCTGTTTGCTTGCTTTATTATAAATCTGCAGATAACCGCTTGAATCGGGCAAATACACCTAAGATAACAGGTATTGCTTTTCCTGGCTTTCAGTTTGTCTTCGAAGTTTCAGTCCTGCAGGACTGGCTCTGGGAGGCCCCAGCCATCTCCCTTCAGCACACTGTCTTCCCCTTTGGAGGATCTTTTTACAAGTTTAAAGGAGATAATTGTGAGAACAGGCAGGAAGTATTTGCAGGTTGCTTTACCAGCATGAATGTTATTTTTCTGGCTTATAATCTCAAGAGACTGAAGTTATTCCATAGGAAGGTAAACTTTAATGCAGAGATAATTTCTTATATATAAAAAAGTACTTGTTGGTGAAGTGTCTTTAAAATTGCTATATAACAGGTGAAAAATTGTTTTGTTGCTATAAATGCTTATTTTTCTGTATTTTACACATTAAATTCTTACAAAATTGTGTCCTTTTGTTTTATATTAAGATGTTTTATTTTGAACCTACTTAAATATATTTGACAGAGAAAACAAATTTGTTAATACTGATTTTACCTAGTAAAATAACTATATATTCGAGCAGTATAGGGGAGCAGAATTTGCCACCTCAAGATGTGTCTCTTTGGCATTAGGACTATTTGGGGCTGGTTACTTTTGAGAAACTGCAGACAGGGGAGAAGCTCTGAAACCTAGTAGAAGTTAGCCTTGGTAAGAGACATTTACATTTGTAAGGGAAATCTCCACCTGCAAATGTGTCTCCCTCTCTGTACCAGGAAGAGGGGAATGACCTTATCTCTAGAAACTCTTATCAATGCGGAAGGCAAGGACTTAAATCTGCATAATAACCTTACTCTTGTTTACTGTGCTTTTTTGGGTAATCTTCCATAACTGACTCCCCCATCCCCAACATCCTCCTTTGTCTTTAGCTGAAGATGGCATTTAAGATGGCAACCTCAGCCATTCTGGTGAGTTACTCAGCTTTCCTCGGTTTCTCCCATGTATACTTACTAAACTTTGTTGGATTTTCTCCTGTTAGTCTGTTGATAAACAAATGGCAAGCAATATGATATGCTGGAGTATATGAGGAAGCCATTTAGTGTAAACCTAATTCGGCCTGACCTTGTTTTTCCAAAAGGGCCTGACTGGCCATTGAGCATGCATTATATATCTGCTTTAAGCATTTCCCATGTCCCAAAGACAAGAACAAATGGTCTTACGATTAGGATGCAACTTCCCCCACGCTGGCATTTCCTTAAGGATAAGCATCTCTCCCTAGGCTAGGAATTGATTGCTGCCCTCACCCTGTGACCACCCAGCTCCAGACAACTGATGGACTACCTGCGTCCACCAAGACAGCAGACCTACTACCTGCTGTGACCATCAATTGCTGTGCTGACAGAGCAATCGTGTGACTATTATAAAAGGGACATTTCAATCATATGTGATACATTTTCTTTGATGCTATGTAACCACTCTGTACACCCCTACTTCTTTGGTGCCTTTCCTCCCTTGGGGAAGGAAGGCCCAGGTCTAAGCTAGTCCTCAGATCTGGCTCATAATAAACTCACCCCAATTTTCATTTATAGATTGGTTATGGATTATTTTCGTCAACACTGTCTCATGTCAATTTCATTCTTAGGACAGCCAGAAGGACTCATAGTGTAGAGGAATTGTCTTCCTCCCCTACAGCAGGGATGCCAGTATCAGATATTCTTGAACAGACCACCACCACCACCACCAGAAAACTCTGGGTGATTAAAGGCATGATGATAAACTAAGAGAGCTGGATCCAAGAGAACGCTAAGAAATTCAGAGGCTCTTGTTAACCTTTCCTTTCCCGTTCCCTTCAAACGTACAGTCTCAGTGGCTTGCCTTAATAGGGGTAAAGGCTCTGGAGTTAGTGAAACTTCCTTTTTATTAAAAAAAAAATACAATTTTAAGATCAAGATGCTTTTAAAAATGGGGAGAAAAAACAAGGATTACACCACAACTTCCTCCACTTAATAAATAAAAGCTCCAAAGAACTTTCTCAATTCCTTTTGCTACTGATAACTTCTAAAAATAAATATTCTTGTAGTGGAAAGGTTTTCCGTTTCATAGTAAGACTGACACACAGCTGTGGACCGTGCCTCAGGAGTTCTTCTTCCCTGAGATCAAAGATTCTCCCAAAGAACATTCAACTGAAATTTTTTTTCATTTCACTTACATCTTATAAAAATTCCAGTAGACTTTGAGTATAAAAAGGGGGAAATCTGAATTGGTATCTCTATATCAAATAGTTTGAAAGAAAAGGAGAAAAGTTTTGCTTTATTCAATTAAATTCACCAGCTTCCATTTTAGGTTGAATAATAAAATAGAAACTTTATTACATTTTACAGATCTTTTAAGATAAGAAATATAAGGGGCAAAAAGTTTTAAAAACCAGTTTTACAGATGTACATGCTAACATAATGTTCTACAATTCCATTTTGTATTTGTATAAAATACATTATACAAAAGATTTATAGTATTTGCATACATAAAAATTAAATAAAGCATTCAGATATTTCTATGATCTAACAGTGCAATATGCACATACTTGGAAGAAAAATACTGATTTCCTGAGCAACATTGTTGTAATTCAAAGTAAGAATGATTCCCATCATAATGCACCATTTTAAATACAAGCTTCTAAAAACTCCTTTACCCTGTTACACTCTGACTTGAGCCTTGCTTCATGATATTTCTAAAACTCTAACTGTATCCTTCATATTCCCAAGTGGGTAATTTTAGAAGTAGATACCTTTAAAAAGAACTAATTACTAAGTAGTGGTTCATTTAAAGAACTCTTCAGGCCATCAAACAAGCAAGTACAGTCCAGAAAAAGAAAAGCTTTCAAAAACAGTAAGTCCTCTGGAGAAGTTAATTTAATATTACAGTCTTCCTTCAAATTCTTAATGTGGCCAGCAGATTCTATAATCCATCTTAATATATGTTTTGAGGACATGAATCCCATAATTTTCTACAAGTAGGACAGCAAAAACATATTTAATGGCATCCATTAGTTCAAAACAACCTTAACCATTTGTACCCAGATTTTTTTTAAAAAAAGAATCTGCCCTAAAAATAACAGATTTTTCTTCATTTGCAACTCCAGGTTTTTAAGTGAACCAAATGCAATGATTCACAGTTCTGTTACTTTTACATTTGCACATATATATATATATGTATACATAATATATATATATATCTTCTAATGTAAAGCCTCACAGTAAGTTCAAATAAGGGTTTCAACACAAAATCCACAAATATAACTTTTCTTATTTTGTTAAATTTTACAAAGTAATCTGCATTTGCTGCAAATTTTGATGTGTATTAGTACTTTTTAATAGCTAAAGTTATTCCATAACTATTAAATGCTTAGGAAATTTTGTCTTTTACAGATGACATAGTGATTAGAATCTATAATTCGACATAGAGAATTATACGTAATTTAAATTATATTCAATTAAAAATATGTAATTCAAATATATAGAAAAAGGAAACTGTATCATAAGGACATGTTATCTTTCATTCAAGGAACAGGACGCCGTACAAGACAGAAATGGCTTTTAATCAAGTCACAGTATGCCTCACTACTTTTAAAAATAAGTTACTTATTTTGGAAATCAGACATCTATATCACAATTTCAAAGTACCACTAGCAAAAAGGCATCACTGACTCTCCGTAATTTCATCAATTTGATGTAAACAAAGTTATTCAAAAGACATTTAGAGCCCATCCTACAATCATCTATTTTCTTCTCTAAAACTTGATTTTTCAGCAGGCTTAATAAATACAATGTAAACTGACCAAGTTAACACTGAGCATAAATTAGAAACATCATACTCCTCTTTTCAAGATGCCCAAGGCACATTAAAACAATGTTTTAAACTTTAAAAGAGTTACTAAAAAAATCAACTTGCTGTAACTTCCATATTAACACTTTTTGGTAACTAAGGTCCTCTAATATATGCAAGGGCTTTAACGTGTCACTTCTTTGTCCTGTTGTTTATGATACTTAGCTCCTGAAAATGCATAAAACCTCATTTACCACATATATTTATTCACCCCACTTTGTATCAAGATTGGAGTTTGAAATAGAAAATGACTGGTCAAAAAGCTGAAATATTAAAAATTAGGAAATAATGCCCAGAAAATGAGGTGGTATTATATATCTTAAAGTACATACTTTATTAAACACAAAACAGGCAATCCAGACTCCACCAAATCTTGCTTCTAATCAGTTTAGTTACATTTTAAAAACACATTTAAAAATTAAATGATGAAATCAGTATGCAAATGCTTTGTATTTAGCCAGACTGTGATCCATAGATCTTAAAAGGTGGACAATCAAGCCTTTTCAGCCAATCCACACCTTTGGCCTCTGTTCCCCAATTTGAGCTTACGGTTCAGGGAAAAAAATGTCTAAGTTAGACATTCTCTCTGAAAAATAGATGTTAAGGGATCAATAAATAAGGCCATCTGTTATTGCTAATGCAAAAGGTCTTTTTTACGCTTGCTTTTGCTTAATGAACGATTTTCTGCAAACAGAACTCAGGCAGCCAATGAAAATTTGTTTTGACCCCATTAAGTTGTGCTTGATAGTGAAGATGGGGACGAATTTATACAGCCTATGTTATGAATCCCACTGGACCATCTGAAATAATGCTTAATTTTAACTCTAAAAATTATACTAGCTTACATAAAGTAATATTATAAGGCATTAAATGTCATTAAGGCATGTTACTATATGTAACATAGCAACAACTTATCACAGTATGTAAGGAATTATTTCCTAAATAATGCTAATCTTTACATGTAAAACACTTTTCATCAAAGATTTGCAAACGTGCTTTCAAATAACACAGGCAAATATAATCATGTAAAAAACAGAAACAGAGGCAGCAATTCTTTAACAAAGATGACTTTTAGTCTTGACCTAATCCAGTGTTCTAGTGACCATATGGCAACTTCCCAACCATCACACATTATTTTGAGGGCTTAACAATAATATCTATTTCTTAGCCTCTATTATAGACACTGTACGTTACTTTCCCATTTCTGTTTCTACTTATGTTTCCATAGCGTATGTGCTACACATATTTTTTTAAAAGTTTCAAAATGGAGTTTTAAGTATGTGATATCATAAATAATTTCAGAACCAAACAACTTTTTTGCAACTAAATATTCTGATGGTTCAGAAGTAGTAAATTTTCTTCAGTTGAGATATCTGACGCTATCATTATTCTGCTTAATAAATTTATCATTAATAACCTTGAGCCAAAAAATACTTAAAATTTAAACATAACCAATCTTGAATAAGAAAAATGATGCATTTTCGAAGAACTTCCTAGACACATTTAAATTCATTTCTGCTTTAAGCACTGATATAACATACACATGGATTTACTGCTCTCAATATCAACAGCTAGCAACTGCAGACTTTACACTCAATCCATTTTTAAGTGGCTCAAAAAAAAAAGTGAAAAACAAAAGCATCTTCAACCTCCCTAAATTCTGCCTTTGAAGTGGTTATTGAATAACTGATTCACCACATTCCAGATTCACATCTGATCACTAACATTGTAATTATGAGCTAATTACTACGTTTTGTGATGAACAGCAGGTGGCTGAGGATCTTGACTATGTAGTTTATAATCACCTTGCTGGCCAAAGGGTAGTCCTTTAGTTGGAGCAATTCCGTTTTCCATTTCTCTCTGCTGTGATGGGGGTGTGACTTCCGAATGCAAATGTGAAGAATCCACTGTTGAATGGTGACTAACATCCACTTTAGCTAAAATTTCATAATATAGTAAATAAAATACTGGTGTTATTATACCTACTATCAACATTATCACTACAGCTGTCCACCACCCTATTCCCCAGTCTGCTCCATAATAAGGATCCTTACGTTGAATGTTTTTGTTATCAGGTTCAAAACGTATTTGTTGTGCTGTTAAGGCAGACACTACTTCATTAAGGTTCTCTCTTTTGGTGTCTGTACATTTTACTATTTGTTCTATGTCTCGGTCTACTTCTTTTAAAAAGCTACCAGCTAACTCACTGGAAGAAAGAGAATCGTGAGCTGACAAAATTTCCTGTTGTTCTGGAAGGTACTGAACAGATGAAGGTCGTGAAGCCTGTCTTCCTTTTGGAGGATAAAGTGTTTCTGTCAACGAACTAAACTTTTTTACTGGAATTTTGATAGACCTAAGGGCAAAAAAGTCTTGATCGCTGATGAGATTGTTTACCCTCTTGATATCTGCTACCTGTGGGGGGAAAAAAAAGCAACATTCAACTGAATTCTAAGTCAAAATAGAGGTAGCAATATTCATTCATCCCAGTTACTTTTGAAAGGAAAAAAATGTGAGCTTAATTATTAGTAGTATTATCACACCCAGAGAGATGTTATTTGTAGATAACAGCCCTGCATGATTTTTTTTTTTTTCCTGAGGAAGATTCACTCTGAGCTAACATCTGTGGCAAATCTTCCTCTGTTTTGTATATGGGCCACCACCACAGCATGGCCACTGACCAGCAGTGTAGGTCTGTGCCCCAGACCCGAACCCAGGCCACACACTGAACTTAACCACTAGGGCACTGGGGCTGGCCCCACACTACTTTTGATCTACCAGTCTTAGGAAATCACCAATTACTTTTTACTATCACCAATATATTATTAACACTAATCCTAGCTAGCTATTTAAGTGAATTCTAGGATCCTTTAATATTTCTTTGTACATCATGCACAGATATCACACTTCTGCTGCTTGTAAACAATTTGTGAAGGAGGGATTACACAGAGATACTTATGTTCTTTCTTCCAATTTAGCAATTAGAGTACAGGCAAATGTTAATTTACCCCGCTAAAACCACCATATTTTATCAAAACTAAGATGCTATCAACTCTAAGATATGCCATTATTTTATGTATCACTAAGGAAAAAAACACAAATCTTGAAGATGCCACTATTTCAACTTCAAAGAAAATGAATTATTCAACTACCCCCAAGATCAGTCATTTTTATAAGCTGTCCCGATATATGATACAGTCCTCAACCTGTCTGTATATCCTATCCACCTGCCAGTGTGAGGAGGAGCAGGGGACTGTTTCTTAGATTACCAATTACTATACCAGGTTCTCCCACCTTTAACTTATTAGTTCCATTCATCCTTTCCAACAATGTCTTAACCTAAGCCCTGATCATTAGCACCTGATTGATGTCACAGAGGTAAACTCAATCTAGGAAAAAACTTAGATTTCTGGCTTGCTCAACTCAATGGATAATGATGCCATTTACTGAGATACGGAACATTGTGGAGAGAGAAAACAGAATGAATGCAGATTTCATACATGTTGACCTTGAAGTGCTTGAAATATGCAAGTGGAAGATGTCCAACAGGCAGTTATAGATGTATATCTGAAATTCAGAAGTGATCTTGGCCAGAGATAGACTTGTGGATTACCAGCAGAAATGGTAACTGAAGTCACCAGACAGATTCACTAGAAAAGGCCTGGGAGAAAAAGGTGACACAGGAAAGATCCCTGAGGAATGCCAACATTTGAGAGGTATGCTGAGTAAGAGAAATCCACAAAGGAGATAAGAAAGAGTGGCCAGGAAAGCAATATATCATGGTGGTTAAAAGCATGGACTGAGTCTGAAGTACGGCTCTGACACCTTCTAGCTGTATGATTTGGGGCAAGTTGTTTAACCTCTCTGCAATTCGGTTTCCACATATGTCAAATGACAGTAATACTACTACCTGCCATACAAGCCTGTTTTGAAGATTAATGAATTACAATGTATGAAGAACATTTAGAACAGTGACATACAGTATGTTATGCAAATGTTAGCTGTTACTAAATAGTAGGAAAATCAGAAACCTGAAGAATGGAGGTCAAGTAAAGAGGGTTTTTAGGAAGGAGTGGCGAACTGAATCGACTGCAGATTCCTGATCAAGACCTACGAAGAATGAGAGTTCTTGTTGGGAAAATCAACTCCCTTGAAGTATATGTGTCGGAGGAGGAGGGAGGGAGGATTAAAGAGTAACTGGGAGATGACACAGTAAAGATAAAGAGTGCTTTGTCATTTTACTATCTGGAGACTGTTTTTTCTTAAGGCAAACAATTCCCTGACAAATCCAAAAGCCTGACCGACCCTATTCTCTTTAAATGCTCTTTTGCTTGGTAGCTTATATTCTGACTAATAATTACTCAATACCCTTTCTAAACTAGGCTTCCAAAGTTTAGTATCTGCCTAGGTCATCTCTCTGAACCTCCCTATAAAATTTTCTGTTACACTAACTTCCTTGGTTGCATTTAGGATTCCAACCTTGGCCTTTTTGTTCCTCTTATCACTGTTTTATAACAGGCATATTTTTAGTAATTCCTAAAGCTGACTATTTCTAAGTGGAATACAGTACTAAGTACTGTATTTTTAAAATGATAAATCCTTTGTAAGGTTAATCTTTTTTTTGCTAGTTGAGTTCCTATCAAAAGGAACCGTTGCTTATCTTAACTATCAATTTTCCCACTTCTGTGGCCAATGCCATCATTTCTGCTAACGTTAAGCTAGTTGCCTTTCATCGTTCTTCATTTTAAAAAAGGAATCAGCTGATAATCCTGTGATTTCCGCCAAATACATTTTCTATCAACTTCCTCTCTCTCCTTACTACATATATTTTAGTCTAGACCCTGGTCATCTTCATTTTGAATTATTCCAATAACCTCTTTATTGGATCCCCTCAAACTCACCAGCGGGCTCCCCCACCATTTTGCAGCACTCTTGTTAAAACCTTACCTTGGTGTTCTCTCACTATATGGATCAAACTTCCTCAGTTATTGCAAAGGGCTTTATACCAATCAGTCTGTGCCACTCATTTCTGAAACACCTATTAAACTTCCTCTGTGATTCACCTTATTTCCTCCTTGAAATCGTCTCCACATCACTGTTATATGCCTGAAATACTTTCTCCTTTTCACCTCACTGGAAATATGACCTATTTTTAATCATTTAGATGGCATTTCAAATTTCTCTTCTAAGAAAATTTTCCAGGTTCACTAAAGGAAAACCAGCCTTTCTCTAAAAAAGCTGCTGGACCACACTCTTCACTTGGATCTCCACCATGACATTTTTAGCCTTGTCCCTAATTTTAAAGTCTTGATTACTTTCCATCATTGACCTTCTAAAGCACATTCTGTAATCTATTTCTCAGTGGTCTTATGTTTCTACAAAACACATATTCACATTTATTTGCAGTAAAAAATGGAATCAGAAAGTTTCTGATTTAATAATAAACAGTGTTGCCATAGATGAACAAGTTGCAAAAGACCCAGGTCTTACCTCATTAAGAAATGCATTTCAATAAAATATTTTGTTTATTAAATTTTTAAATCAAAATTTGTGATATACGTTTTGATGAATTGTGAATAATTGCAATAATTACTCTATTTGGGAAAAAATAATACATAGAACCTCACAGTCATAGGAAATTTTTTTAATTCAATTTAAATATATATAAATTTATAAATATGTGTCTGTTTCTATTGCAGAGAACGATGACAGATAATCAAGAAAAGGGTTTGAAGTATGAAAATATTTTACACTATGAAAAATTTTGAGAAAAAGAATGATAAAAAATTTCATGCTACTAAAAAAAGAGCTCACATATATATTTTAAATGAATGATTTCCTGTAGCAAATCCTGCTGGTATTCAGAATTTCATGCATGCATTTAAAGAGTATTCTAACAGTCTTATTTTTAAATATGAATATCAACAACATTCTGGAAATTACACCCTTTGTAACTATTTTAAGTCATTAGGAAATATTTAATAAGTTCACTTTAAAATGTGCAAGGAGGTACATAGTACATACATTTCAAAATTCTATTGGGAGTATCAGAACAAAAAGTTTGAAAACCAATGTTCTAAACAGTTTCCATATCAATGTGTTTCCACGAAAATAGATTTCATGCTAAGAATGTAAGATGGACGTGACACAGATATAAGATGGGTTTAGACAGAGTTTAATATCTATTAAAATTAAAAATATATCTTCCTTTTACTATCAATCCCACTTTTGGGAATCTATCCCACAAAAATAAAGGTACCACCATTTAAAGATACAGTCATGCACCACATAACAACATTGCAGTCAACGACCAACCACATACATTACCCTGGTGCCATAAGATTAGAACGATATAGCCTAGGTGTGTAGTAGGCTAAGCCATCTAGGTTTGTGTAAGTACACTCCGTGATGTTCACACGAACATCACCTAATGATGTATTTCTCAGAATGTATCCCCATCGTTAAGCGATGCGTGATTGTATAGTTGTGATGATATTCACCACACAATGCAAAACGCGGACAAAATCCTTACCATCCATAAGCAGGAGAACGGCTTAATAATTACGGTACATTCATACTATGGAACATTTTGTAGCTATATACAATAAGGAGTTAGATCTAAGGCTATGAGGGACATCCATGACATACTAAGAAATGAAAAACACAAAGGCAACTCGCAGAGTAACAGGCATAGTATAAATCAATTTAAATACAAAAAAACCAATGCCCTCCCAAGTATTTTATTTTTATGTATATATACACCAAACATATGTATATTTGGGGGGAGGGGGCTACAAAAAAAAAGGTATGGAAAGAAACACACCAAAGTGTGTTATCTAAGGAAACTGGGGCAGAGAAAAACTTTTCCTTATATATCTCTACATTCTGTTACAAATGGAATTAGGAGAAAAAGATAGCACATTGCTGATATTCAATACTGAAAACAGAATCACAGATTTAGAAATAAACAAATTATTCACTTAAAAATTTAAAAAGTTAACATGATACAGATTTCTATTGAAAGAAGAAAAAAGAGAAGGAAGAAAAAGACAAGACAGAAGGGCACAGAATTTATTTCAATTTGTGCTATGAACAGATAATTTATTTTGGACCACATTATGCAAAATCAAATTAAAACTTACCGTACAACAGTACTGAAGGGCTATTGCATTTAAAGTATCTCCTTCCTGTATATCTTTTGTTAATACTATAATGTCATCAAGTCTATCTCTTGATGTACTTCTTCGGATTTTCTCTTTTCCCCTGGATCGAAGCTCATACACTTCAGCATCCTCCTCCAACACATCGCTGTCTGTACAATTTCCAAATGTATGGACTTGACCACTTGAATGAGCTCCTGGAAGAGGAAAACTACGATTCGGATGCCTTCCTGCCATAATGTCAAGATCTGGGGGGAAAAGAAGGCAGAGAAAAGTTTGGAATGTAGCTGATCCATTTGACTGATTTACATGAATCTTACATTCAAGACACTTCTTTTGTTTTTTTTAAAGAATGGTTTTATTTATTTAAAAATTTAGGTTCAAGTTACAGCTGTTGAAGTACAATGAACATATTTGGCAGTGGAGACAATGGGATGGGAGGAAAAGGTAATCCATTCTTACTGACCATATATCACAAAACATGTGGGGGTGATTACATTTTAACAAGGGCAAATTTAGGTCAAAAAATTAAGATCCCCTTATTCCGAGTATGTGAAGAAAACTAGGGAAATAATTTTGAATTGTCTTAACAGGTCATGATCATATATACAATTTATAGTTCTGCTGGAATCAAAATATATCTTTTATATGTACACACAATACTTTTATGAACCCAAAACTTTCTGGCTTATTCTGCATTTAAGTTCACATGGGATTGAAATATCTTTTGGACTACCTACCTACCTCCCTGGATCACAATGAATTCAGTATTTATATTTAGCACAGTCTGTGCCTTCTATCTAGGTCATGATTTTGCTCTCAACCAGGGACTTCTTCCCAGGAAGGTTTTCACCAAACTTTAACTTATCAAAGTCCTCATCAAACTTAACTTATGGTCCGTAAAGACTGAACATATTTTAGATCACTATATGCATTTCTACTTTCACAAAAGACAGTGTAAGACTGACTGAGAGCTGACCTAAGTTAAAAACATACATCAATGAATACTTTTTGTTTACTTACATACTCACTCTCAACTCACCTTCGTCCAATTGATCTATTCTCGTTAAAAATGAACAAGAGCATAAAAAACAAATTCCACACACAGTTGTAGCTTCAGATTAATTGTTCATATGAGAAAAGATGATAGATTGCTTTCAGTTATTGTTGTGAAAGATGGAGAGAAGTGGACAGGAAGTAAGAGGCATTCTGGAGATAAAATATTTAGGACTTAATGTGGCTCAGATACGAAGAGAGCAAAGAAAGATCACACTAAGATTTTTGACTTGCATTACGGAGTAAATGGTGTCATTCTCTAAGATACAGTACACTAGAAGAAGAGCTGGGGGGGCGCTATACAGTCAAATTCAGGAACGTCTGGGTTAGAGATAATTTTGTGACTCATCTGCACATAGGTACTAACTGAAGCTGTAGGTGTAAATGAAATTACTTAGAGAGAGTACAGAATAAAAAAACAGGGTCCAAGACTGAGCCTTGAAGAATGTAGTAGTTCTGGGGGAAGGAAAATCAGCCTAAAAGAAGATGGAAACAGAATGTTCAGAGGAAGAGGAAACCATGAAAACGTGTCAGTGAAGCCAAGGCAAAATGATGTCTCAAAGGAGGACTTAGATCAACTGTGAATACTATGGACAAGTATCAAGTGAAAAAGAGAAAAAAATTAAAAAAAAAGAAAAGACCAACTCCAAAAGCCAGAATTTGTAAGATGGATGACAATAGATTATACTCTCCACGGAGGCACATACTTGTAAAATTTTGAGAACTATTTCATACAACTGAAACCAATCCTTCAAAAGCAGTTTCTGACTGTGCTCTATGGCAACATTGTAATGCTTTAAAAACTCAAGGGTTTCTATTCAGATAACATAGATAACTAATAGCTATATACTAAGTCGATTATTTCATCTCTTCCCCTAGGTGCTACATTATTTATTACCATTAACTGGGATTCCTAACTTGACAGCCACTACAGCAAGCTACCCACATTTTACATCTCAAAAGCAGTTCTGAAGTCATGATCACACCTATTCCTTCAAGGAATTCCCAAAAGTGACAACTCTAAGCAGCTTACAGATTAAATTTGTTTTAATACCATCATAAATTAAAGATGCTTTATTTTTATTTAATTCTCAAAAAAGTTGAAAGAGTACCTCACCTTCACCTAAAATAGATAATACTTCTATTTCTACTTATTTAACCAAGTCTTTTCTGTCCTGTTTTTTAATGCAGGGAACGTCAGTGAGTCCTAGGCAAAATTTTATACATATGTACATTTTTCTGGGAGAATGTTTATTGTTTTCATATTCTCAAAAAGGATCCATGATTTAAAAAAGTTAAGAACCACTTATACAGCAATTTACACGTGGCTATAATGACCCATTTATGCTGCCCTTTAGACTTCTCCCGATCATTTCTCAGAATCCTAAACTGCCTTAGCACAGCTGAAATTCACTGAGCAACGCCCAAAAGCCATTTTAGATATTTCTGTCAACCTCTCTCCATAATATATTGCTAAATGATATTCAAAGACTAGAATTCATCTGTCTCACTATCACTTCACTCCCTTTTATAATAAAATGCAGGCAGCAGAATACCATAAACTGGGTATTCTGTTTCTGAATAAGCAAGAATTGGTTGTGCCTAATCGAAGTGAAAAGCCAGATTCTGTCCCAGGCAGATAATTATCTGAGCTAACTATAGAGAGACCAGAAAGCACACACTATTCAAAGTCATCTTCTCAATTCTCTTCACCGGTCAATTCTCTTTGGGCAGGAAAAAAGCACGAATCTCCTCTTCAGAAAATCCAAACAAGCCTGAATGCTGCATAGATTACAAGCGGTCAGAAATATAATTCCCAATGGATACGACGGTAAAGCGCTCATCAGCTCAGCCTGTAACTGAAAATGGTTTCCCAAATACCTTCGTCCTGTATAATAGCTGCTGTTAGGCGTTTCGCTTTGACACTCCTCAAGCAGGGAGCAATAAAGGGGCCCGAGGACACGAGCTAGTTCAGCAGTGGGACAGTATCACAGGGACCGTATCCGCCAGGGCCAATTCAGTTTTCAGAAACTTAACTTCCCTCCCTCTCCATTCCACACATCTAGTTTTTTCTTTCCCTGCTATCCTCTGCGAGGATTCAGTCTCAGACCTTTAGGTCACACTATCACACTTGGAAGATGTGGACGAGATAAGATCAGCGAATATTCAACACAAACACGCAGCTATGGGAGAAATGTGGTGTGTTTGGGTGGGGAAAACGTTGCTCCGGGAATCGGGCAGGCAGGAGCTCCTCCTCTGAGCCTCAGTTTCCCCGACAGTGTAACGAGAGGCTTAAGCGGGGCTGGCCTCGAAGGTCTCCCCTGCCAAGAGGTCTCCTCCCCGCGGGCCGGGGTCTCAGCCCCAACCGGCCACCCCCAACACACCTGCGGCCGAGGGCTCCGCGCCGCCTCCAGGGAGGGTGCCGCGGGCCCCACCCCGCCGGCCAGGACAGGGGCACCCCCCTTCTCGCCGCCATCTTTACCTGTCTCGTTAGCAGCCGGGACGCATCGAGGAGACGCCTGCCAAGTCCGCCGCCACCGCCGCCGCCGAGCCGGTCCAGTTCATGGCCAAGCCTCCCCTTTCGGCTGCCTCCGTGCGCCGCGGCCGCTGCCGCCGCCAACGTCTCCGCCTCCCGGGCCCTGCGCCGCCGCCACGTCCGCAAACCTGCCGTGCGTCATCACGTCAAGTGGGCGGAGGTGGGAAGGGGCGGGGGAGGAAGCGAAGGGCGGGGGCGCGAGGGCGAGCCACGGACCCGGGGCTCCCCAGCCACAGGCCCAGCCGGGCGCGCAGGCGCAGGGACGCTGCTGGGGTTTGGGGGCGGGGCCCGCGCTCCAGTCCCGCCCCTGACTCCTCCCCTTTGGGCCCCGCCCCTTCATCTCCAGTAAGGTAGTTCCGCGGGCCAAGTCCACGGGCTCACCCTGCGACCTAGGGCGACTTGATGGCTGCGCCTTTGTCCTTCGTACACACAGCGCTGACAAAGACTGTCTAGAAAACACTGAGGGGGGAGGTGCTGAGGGTCTGTCGAGGGCTGTTGTGCATTTCTTCTTGCTCGGCGTCTAGAGATTTCTGTAGGGTGAGGAAGGACTCCCAGAAGCACGGGGTTGACATCCATGTTTTAGAATGCTGCACTATGCTTATTACTCTTCCTGCTGAATCCTCTAGGCTTCTGCAGAAGAGGCGAAATACTGGAGAGAAACCCTGGGGCGGCGGGGGACTGTGGTTTCAGTCTTTGTACTTATAGGTGAGGAAAGTGAGCCACCTAGAGTCAGGCCCCGGGAAATGTTTGCCCCAGTCCCGGTTCTCAGGCTGCCTATTCTCAATGAGACAAAGCTGTGCACAAATTGTAACTTAACTGATTTTGTTTTGAAAATAAACTGAAAGTCGTTGGTAGTCACTGTTGGGATCTATGAGATATTTGTTTGTTAATAACAAACTCATGACTTCACTTATGGTTTTTCTCACAAACTTACTAGATGAGTGTGATAATGGGTTTGAGTTTATGTAAATAAGTATAAAGCGTTTTAACCACGGGCCTAACGTTTCCTGTCGTTGAGGTTACAGACTTTGCACTTTGACGACCACGCTGTCTGATGACAGTATACATTTTAGACACAAACAGGCGGGGTGCAGGGTGCAGAACACTTCTTTTCAGAATGTCTGAATATTTATGCATCATGAAGCCTGTGAAGCTTTGTTTTAGATTATTTTCAAAGAGTATGTTTTTTGTTTTCTGGATGTGCCTCAGTAAAGGTTAGGAATTCTGCACTGCAATATTTTTCTTTTATTTGAGGCGATAGGCGCTGCGCTCCACAATGCTACAAAAAGAACTGCAGGAGAAGAAGACTAAAAAAAAATTGTTTAAAGTTTGTCGGAGCTGTTCTGTGTGCTCTTGCCCTTGTGACACCCCTGTCTGTAACCATTTATCACTGAGACATTTTCTCATCAATAGACAAAGGATATATTCCCTACTTGATGTGTAGGGCTTCAGCTGCTCAGCCTTCATGAATGTTAATGTGAATACAACCTTCTTTCTGCACATAGGTTACTCTTCTTATTTTAATGTCAATAGGCAGTGGAATCCATGTGAGAGCCCAAATGATAGAATTTCAAGCACTTCTCCAGGATTGCTACCTGTTTCCTTTGTATAAATACTTTCTTGATGATATCTGCATGCTCTTGAATCATTATTTATATTTAACACAGGTGCAGTTATTGCACTTTTTACAAAAACACAACAATAGAATATTTTATTATTGGAATATACAAAGGAAGCAGTTAGCCATGAATTTTGGCCAAGTTCCAAAAAGCTGGCCAGTAGGAACAAGTACTTTGTCTTTGAGAAAAAGGATGTCCCCAGTGCTCAGCAAAGCCAAAAGGATTTTCAGTTTTTTGAGATCACGTCTGACACAGTTTTCATTACAAGGCTGTAGATGAAAGAACATGTAGTTTCTAGGAATGGGTGTTTCTGTCACTAACAGGTTTTGTGATTTGCTACAGAATAAAAATTGTGTTGTAATGAGAGTGCAAACTGGTGCAACTGATTAGGAGTGTTACTTAGCAGTGTCTATCAAAGTTAAAACTGCGATTGACTGAACTATTACATTACTAAGTAATTACCTTGTATTCACTTGCAGATACATATGTATAAGATTTAACAGATATGTTCAGGAATGTTTGCTAAAGTAATAGCTAAAAATCTGAAAATATTCTGAATGTTTATCAGTAGCAGACTGGATACTTTTGGTACATTTAAATAGTGTAATATTATGCTTTTGCTCAAAACAATGAAGTTAATCTGCATTTTCTGATTTATTCATGCATTTACCTAACAAATTTTTGTTGGAGGAAAAGTATATGTGAGCCTTTTGTTCTATGCATTGGGGAATACAGTGCTTAAAAAGACATTTTTCCTTACTCATGGAGTTTCTGAGACTAAGCACATGGAAAGATCTCCAAAATGTATTTTAAAGAGGAAAAGTATGTTGCCACATAGGAGAGGTATAATGTTATTCCTTTCAACAACATTTTAAATATACATCCCCCATCTTCCCACCCCCTGACACACATTCGTATATCTATGCAGGGAGATGCGTTTAATTTTTCTTTCTGGAAAATTCGTAAAGGAATTTCTAACAGTGGTTGAAAAGGTTTAGATGTGGCAGGGGAATAAGTAGGAGACTTTGCCTTTTCGTCTTAGACCTCTCTATGTAGATTGAATTTTTATTACCATGTGTTTTTATTATTTTTTTCTTAAAGATTGGCACCTGAGCTAACATCTGTTGCCAATCTTCTTTTTAATTTTTTCCTCTTCTCAAAGTCCCCCAGTACATAGTTGTACATTCTAGTTGTAGGTCCTTCTGGTTGTGCTATGTGGGATGCCACCTCAACATGACTTACATGAGCGGTGCCATGTCCATGCCCAGGATCCGAACTGGCAAAACCCTGGGCTGCTGAAGCAGAGTGTACAAACTTAACCACTCGGCCACGGGGCCAGCCCTGTGCTTTTATTATTATTAAAAGTATATTGGGCCAGCCCCAGTGGCCTAGTGGTTAAGTTTGGTGTGCTCTGCTTCAATGGCCCAGGTTTGGTTCCCAGGTGCAGACCTACACCACTTGTCAGTGGCCATGAATGGCAGCGACCCACATAGAAAATAGAGGAAGATTGACATGGATGTTGGCTCAGGGTGAATCTTCCTCAGGAAAAAAAAAAAAATTAAGACATAATTTATTATTGAATAACTGGGCTTGTTTTATCCACGGTAAACCTGTAGTCAACCTCTGTCTCTTAATCATTCCTGAATCTGTTTGTACTTTGTGTTCACATAGTGAGTGCTTGGAGAAAAGAACCAGATCAAGTCCCTTGGAAATCAAAAAAATGAAAGAGTACAGAACATTGAATTCTTTTTACATTTTTTCTTGATACCCCTCTGCCAGATTTCTTTCACCCCTGCTCTTTTACTCTCTGCTCCTTTCTGTATCCTTTTATCAGCTTTTCTTTCTAATTCTACTTTCTAGAAGCAAAACTTGAAAAGACTATTGTATACTAAGGAAATACTTGAAGTAAACTTAAATGAATTTAAAGCTGGATTATGAGGTGAAACCTAAATAACTCTCCTCATCTCTGATCTTCAAGCAATCTGTATAGAGAAAATTATTGTGTCTCTTCCTTAGAAGTCATGAGAAAAAAAACCACAACAGACTGTTTGATTTAGATATGTTCTAGAGATGATCCAGATGACCTCCCTGTCTTTAACCCTATTATTTTAGAACATAGTGATTATCATAATCACAGCTCTGCTGTAATGTGGATAAAAAGGGTTAAAAGGGATCAAGCATACTTTAGGAATCCAGAGTTGCCTATAAATACTAGTAAGTAATTCAGGGATATTAAATATGACTTGAAAATGGCCATCCCAATACCTCCATACATATAGACATTACTAGATGAAAACTAGATGAAAATATTATTCTTAAATTCTTTGGCTAGGTAGTTGGTACATATAGAAAGGAAAAGTTATATGTTTAAAATTAAGTCGACCATAACTTGAAATACTTTGTTTCCTGTGATCTTTACAATCACTACGGCCATATAAGTAAATCGGTGCAGGTGAATGTTCTCGAACTTATAACTCACTTGCTGTTGTGCCTACTCCACAAAGACATAAGATGGTCAAAGAAAATTCAATTAAGTCCACTTCACCAAAGGAAAACATGAGGGATGACCCAGCCAGTGGAATTGGGTGAGGGCAGAAGGTGATCATCCGGAAGTAGAGAGCAAGTCAAAATAGAGTCCAGAGAGCAGACATGCAGTCAGATTTCTTAAGTATTCAGTAGTGTGCTCATGGAGTCAGGAAGATTAGGGGGTGAGGAAGCATAAAGGGAGAATGGAAGAGTTAACAGTATCTTCTCATTCTAGTCTAGGTCTTTCCAGATAGTTAGAGACCTCTTCTGGGACAATCCTCAACTTAACTAACAGTATCCGAAAAACCAAGCTAGAAGTTCAAGAACGAAGCTTCCATGCCCATAAAACGATCATAGAGCAGTGAGGTATATATGCCTAAAGTGAAGGTGGTGCTTATCGGACAAGATATAGATGGAAATTACATCTATTCATTTGGGAAATATTAATTAAGCACCTACTGTGTTTCAGGCTCTGTCTTAAGCACTGAGGATGTATAGTGAACAACCAGGCCCAAATTCTTGCTCTCATAGAGCTTGTAGTCTTGCAGTGAAAGAGAGATAAAAACAAAATAAAGGAGGGCCAGCCTGGTGGCGCAGCGGTTAAGTGCACACGTTCCGCTTCTCGGCGGCCCGGGGTTCGTCAATTTGGATCCCGAGTGTGGACATGGCACCGCTTGGCAAAGGCCACGCTGTGGTAGGCGTCCCATGTATAAAGTAGAGGAAGATGGGCATGGATGTTAGCTCAGGGCCAGTCTTGCTCAGCAAAAAGAGGAGGATTGGCAGTAGTTAGCACGGGGCTAATCTTCCTTAAGAAAAAATAAATAAATAAATAAATAAATAAATAAAGGAAATATTAGTATGTTAGATGGTGATAAATTAATGGAGGAAAATTAAATAGTGAAGGAGGTTGGAGTGGTCTGGGGGAGGGAGTTTGTATTTGCAATAGGATAGGTAAGGAAAAGCCTAATGGAAAAGGTGATAGACT